TTTGGGGGCGATTGGGGGTGGGGCTGGTGCTCCGGTTCTCCCTGGATTGTTTGGATCCTTTTATCAGGGTTCCTGGTTCTGATGGCCAGCCCTTTGGCTGGGGTGGCTGCCGGGTTCTGGCGGGAGGTCAGCTGTGGTTTGTGTGTGTGTGGTCGTTGGTAGTGCATGGCAGCAGTCGGGGGCATGGCTTCACTTCGACGAAGTGCTGGCTGGTCGCCATGTTGTGACATTCACGGTGCGGGGTGCTGTGTGTGTGTGTGTGTGTGGGGGGGGGGGGGGGGTGGGGGGGGGGGGCCGGGGCTTCTCCGGGCCTGTGGTGTGGGGCTTTTGGGATGCATTGGTGTGCTGGGCCGGTCTTCCTCGGCTGCTGCTCCCTGCTGCTCTGGCCCCCGGCCTGGGGCCGGCTTGCGGTCACTGTTGGGCAGGTGGGGCGCATGGACGGCCCAACAGAGGCTCTGTCGGGCTGTCTCTGTGTGCCTGTTTGTCTCAGGTTGGGTTTTGGGTGGCCCCCCTCTCTTGGACCAGTTTGGTGGGTCGTGCTCCCCCCCGGTGGTGGGCTCCCCTGCCGCTGGTGCATTGGCGGCTCTCAGCAGCTGGGGCTGGGTGGTGGGGTGGGTGCAGGCCCGCCCTGGTGGCTGCCTGTGGGGGCCTGGGTGCCCTGGCTCTGTCGGGCCTCTGTTAGGCGAGGGTATGACCTCGGGACTCGGGGCTTGGTGTCCATGGCCGTATCCACTCTGGAGGGGCAGGTTGCCGGCGGGGCCTGTTGACTCGTCGCTACGGCCTCCTGGGGGTTTCTGCATTGTGGTTGCTGGGGATCGCCCGGGGCTTCCCTTTGCTTCTCTCTCTGGGGGGTGCGGGTGTCCCTGTTGGGGGACTACCGGAGTTCCGGGCTTGGGGGCCGCTGTGTGTCTGTGGTTCCGGGCTTCCCTGTGTTACCTTCGTGTCCTACGGGGACGGGTTTATGGGTCCCCACATCCACTATTGAACATTTTTATGAGAAACCTTAAAGTGACATCATGCTCACACAGGTGTTTAGATTCAGGTGTTTATCAGATACACACTCAGTTGGGTTGTGGTGGCCATCAAATATGTATTACCATGTAATGTATAAAATACTTTCTAATGATGTTATAAGTATCATTATATAAGTTGTTTGTTGTTGTGGTTTCTTGGTTTTGTCTGGTTTTTTTTTCTCTCTTTCCGCAGGTCTAGAGTCAGACTTCAATTATGTTGATTTGTGTTCTCTTTATCCCTCTCTCTCTCTCCTCTATTCCTATCTCCTTCTTTACATTTTAACTCTTCTCTCACTTTTCTGCTTTGTTATCTTCTTTGTTTTCTGTCCCCGTGTCCATTACATCTGAAACAAACCCAAAGCATATTCTAATAAAATGTAATTTATATATCAAATGGAGCATTAAGGCCAGCCATGATGCTCTGCTTGTGAAAGTAAATCTGTTGGGCATCACTTTGACACTCAGACAATAACTCTGTGTCACAATGCCGGACAGGACAAGGGAAAAAAAAAAAAAAAAAAAGAGAGGACATGGAGGTAGTTGGAGTGAGAGGACACAGAGGACAGAGTGAGGTGGAGGAGGATGATTCCTGAAGAGGGTACAGCAGAAAAAAAACAATGTTTCTACTGCAGTATAATGTGTGTCTTTAGGATCCATCTGTCAGAGGAATCTTCCACTTCTCCGGTAAAGAGCAGATGACCAAATATGAAATGGCTGTTGCCATGGCGCAAGCCTTCAAACTGCCATCCCATCACCTCATCCCAGTAAGTCAGCTGACCTTGAAACTACTCAACCTTCTATTTGTTTTTTTTACCAATCTTTTGTCTGTTTTGTGTTTCAAACTAAATTTATCTGATTTTTATTAAAATGTTTTAAGAACAAGTATTTATTGTAGTTAAAATGTTGATGTAAATGTATTTAGTTGACAACTTACAACAGTTTAGTTGTATTTAATTGTTTGTAGCCTCCAGTTCCTTGTTCGATACAGTTTCTAAAGGTACATCACCTCCACCAACAAGTCAAACCTCTGTAAACCATACATTCTGTTTGTCACCGTACTCTGTCAGTGAGGTTACAAACTGTTAGAAGATCTGGACACTAGAAAACCTGCAGCCCTGATGACCTCCTCCTTACTTCTTCAGTCTAGCTGCACAAATTATAGCAGATCTGGTGTCTTACATTTTCAATCTGTTGGAACAGAATACTGTCCCAGATGCTTGGAAAACAGCTGTTGTGCTGCCATTGTTGAAGGAAGGAGACCCCACTATACTGAACATTTATCCACCAATCTCCAAACTTTGTGTTTTAGCTCAGGTTTTAGAAAAAACTTATAAATACTCAAGTCAAGAAGTATTTGGACTCTTTTAATATTTTATCTTTTCTACAATCTGGCTTCAGGAAACAACACAGCACAACGACTGCTTCACTAAACGTTTTTAATGATGTTGTTGAAACTTTGGACACTAAGGATTACTGAGCTGCACTTTTCTTAGAGCTGTCCAAACCTTTGATCCTGTACATCATCACATCTTCTGGCACAAGCTCTCAGATAGTGGCTTCTCAGGTCACACTGTTGGCTGGTTCTCAAACTATCTCTCAGGTCGGAGGCAATGTGTTCGACATAACAGTACTTCATCTATCTACCTAATGGTCACCGATGGTGTGCCACAAGACTCAGTTTTAGGACCCACTCTTGTTACAATTCATATAAATAATGTAGGTCACAACATTCCTGACACATCCTTGCATCTCTATGCTGATGACACTGTTGTTTATTGCCGAGCTAACACAGTTGCCAAGGTTTTCCAGTTTCTACATTCTGCATCTGACATCATCCAGTCAGACTTGTTCCATCACAAACTGGTGCTAAATGCTGACAAAACCAAAACAGGTGAGTGCCCCCTGGTCCAGACGAGATCCTAAATGGTTTCCCAAGGAACCAGAGGATGAACGATCGTAACAGAAGGGGGGCGAACGCCCTAAGGGTAAAAAGTATGGCACCAAAAGTGACCCATACAAACAGGGATCCCACTGGGAACCCCAAAGGAGGGGTGCTGTTTCCCCACCACGTCGGGCTGAACAGCCTGAGACGAAAAAGAAACAGCAGCAGGTCCAGAAAAAGAACCGCAGTCCTCTGAGCTCGGACGAGACAGACAGGGTGCGTCGGTTGTTGGACTTGTTGGAAGGTGTTACCACGGACAAACAACCTAACGCTTTGTTTGGCGATATCATTGCTGATAAGTCAGAGCACACAGACAACACCGTTACTGCTGTCACAGACAGTCACCATGACGCTGTTGTGGTAAACTCTGACACACCCTCACCTGAAATGGAGGGGGTACAATCACACGTCACCGACGGTGACCCGTCACAAACTGAAACCTCAGAAACTGCGATAGCTGTGCTAACGGTTCAGTCAAACCAGGGTGACACAAACAACAACGTTGCCGCTGTCATGGACAGCCACCAGAACCTTGTTACAAATAATGAGAGCCCCTCAACACACGGTGAACGGGTGATCTCATACATCAATGACGGAGGCCCGTCAAAAGCCGAACTCTCAGGAGCAGCAGCAACTGCACCAACGGTTCA